CACCATCCACCATGTTGTGATGTAGCCAGGGGCCTTTACCAGAGCTGAGCAGACGCATGCGCTGTGCTATTGGACTAATGGCTAAATAAACCTCTGTTATATAAATATAGTACCCAGGCTTGAGTATTTTATTATAGTAATAGAAAACAGACACACTTAATTCCTACGTTTTCTATATACAGTTTTGATCCTGGAGATGAAATTGGATTTGGGGGAGGGATGTGATTTATTTTCAGTACTGGAGATTGACCCCAAGGCCTTCACACTGAGCTAGATGCCCAGCCTCCCTACCTCCCTCATCCTTTAATTTCAATTTTGAGACAGACTCTTACTAAGTTGTTAGTTATTAAGTTGCTCAGGCTGGACTCAAATTTGTAATCCTGACTCAGCCTCCCAGAGTATTGAGATTATAGGTATATACTGCCATACCCAGAGAAATATATAATTTATTGAGATCTTACTGAGGCATTGTTGACACATCACCTATTTATCAAGTCTGTTTTTTCTTTTTTGTGGTGCCGGGATTGAACTTATGACCTCATGCTTGCCAGGCAGACGCTTATGCCACTGGGCTAAATCCCCGGCCTGTTTTCACTTTTATTTGGCAGAGGATATCATGTATTTCTCTGGAAAAAAAAGTACCAAAACATTAGTGAGATAGCTTTCTGAACTCATGAGGCATCACCTGCAATTTTCATGGGAACGACTTTGGACACAACCTCAGGACTCTGCTTCTCAGACAGTGTTGATGTCCTCCCAGGTACTTGAAAATTTATAGGCCAGTCCGGAGGGCCTGTCCATAGCTTTTGACAGAGAACTGAATTCTAGGACTCAGTTGCATGGGAGTCCTCTATTGTTCTAATATGTGCCCAGTGGCACATGAAATGAATGCTATAGTATTTGGGAGGAGGAAAAGAGCAATAATTAATTTAATACCACCCAGGGCATCTTGCCCACGAATGCAGTCATTGCTGGAAACACATTGCCATCCCAAACCTTGAAGGTCTGCGAATCTTCCATGGGAAGCCTGCAGTGTCCTCTCTGTGGAAGGTCATGTCGCTGGTTGCATCTTCTTACCAACCAGGCATGACCCTGGACTGCAGCCCTCATGACTGGTTTTCAGATATTTCAGAACCAGTAAAATACAGACGATGGTCAAATTGCGTTGAATCGGTTTGGCCTTTCTTTGATGCAGTGGCCTTGGCAAATCTCTGAGGGTCGCGGTCATCTTTGTGGGTGCTCGTGGTCAGAGCCAGTCTGCAGTGTAAAGAGCAGATCTGATTTTGCCTGGCCTTTGGCTGTACTCTCGGGAATTAGTTTTCTTCATATTAAATCCCTGCTACCAACTTGCACATCCTTTGGTTGCCTCTCACCCAAGCAGAGGGCACATTATGGAACTAATTTTCTCTCTCTGTTTTTTTCCTGGTGATTTTAATTTTGTATAACTATTTACAAGACTTAAAAGCACATTTAGGAAATTCTAATCAAGCGCTGGTTTTTAAGTAGTTGTAGAACTATTACGCTAAACGGTTAGTTTGTTCAGTTTGCCTTATATTCCCCAATAAAGAAAATGTCAAGAGGTTATAATGGAGCTCACACCACGGAGAGACTACTTAGTGATTTTTTTCTTTTCAACTACTTAAACAACTTTGGCTATAAGTGAGAAGAGAGTAGATACTGAACACAGGATTTGAGGGACACTAAAGCAGGTATTATCGCTATATTCCTTATGTTCAAAAAGTTCAGTAGGGATATGGAAAATAAAAATAGACCCGAATCAAATTTCTATAGAAATTCTACAGATGAAAATTGTAATATTAGAGATTTAAAAAATTACACTGGATGTAACTAATGGTACTGCAGAAGAAAAGATTTAAAGACATAGCCAAAGAGATTATCCAAAATGGAAAAGAAAAAAATAGACTTAAATGGAATGAATGTGTGACCACTTAGGTGGCCTAATATGTGTATATTGGAGTTTCCTCAGGAGCAAGAGGATGATACAAACATTTTTGTAGAGATAATGTACAAACATTTTTAATTTTTCTAAAAACTATAGAAATATCAAATATTAGGGTGACAGCAAGTTTGTGAGAATAGGGTGGGCTGCACCTGTAAATAAGAGAAGGGCAAGAAGCAACCCACCAACTCAGAATTTTGCACTCAATAAAATATCTCTTTAAAATGAAGACCAAATACATTTTTCAGACATCTAGTAACTGAAAGAAACCAGCAGTAGCATACCTATCCTGCAAGAAGTAGCAAAGGAATTGCAGAAAGAAAAAAAGGTACTTGGAGAAAATATGAATTAACAGAAAGAAAGAAAGAAAGAAAGAAAGAAAGAAAGAAAGAAAGAAAGAAAGAAAGCGAGCATAGGAAATATGAATATGTAAGAATTTTTCCTTATAATTTAAATGTCTTTAAAAGATGACTGAGGCATGGTGGTAGACACTCATAATCCCAGCAGCTTGGAAGGCTGAGGCAGGAGGACTGCAAATCTGAGGCCAGCCTGGACAACTTAGTGAGACTTTGTCTTGAAATTAAAAGAATATATATATATATGTTGGAAATTTATAAAACCTGACACATGAGTGTTTATAACAACTTTATTCATAACTGCCAAAACTTTGGAAGAATTGAGATACTCTTCACTAGACGAATTGGTAAGTGGAATATTACTTAGCAACATAAAGAAATGATGTATCAAGCCAAAAAAAGACATAGAGGGATCTCAAGTGAACCTTGCTAAGTGAGAGAAGCCGATCCGAAAAGCATATATACTGTGAGTCCAACTATTGAATATTCTGGAAAAGGCAGAACTGTAGAGACAGTAAGATGAGCGGCCACTAGGGGAAGAGGTGACTATATTGGTGGAGCACAGGACATTTGGGAGTGGTGAATCTGTTCTGTGTGATAGAGTAATGGTAGATACATGATGTCATGGCCTTATCAAAGCCCTTAGGACCTGCAACACAAAGACTAAATGCTAATATACACGGTGGGGTGGCTCTAGAAGTAGAGCCATCTCCTGGAGAGTGTTCTGCTGTTTGCACAGAGCAGCCGGGCCAAAGCCATTATCCAGAATGGTGCACAGGAGTTTAGGGGTTACTTCTGGACCTGCAGTATTCTGACCTTTTCTCTAGTGGTGGTCCCTGTGAAAACCAGCAGCTTCTGGGATGAGCGTAGGTTGGGAGCTGAAGGCCTGGCTGTTGTCCGTTAGCTGACTGTGAGATTTGGGGCATGTTGCTTTGTTTACCATGCCAGGTCTTAGGTTCTCTGAGCAGGGACTTCCACTAGCCCCTTCTGATTCTAAATGGAGTAGACTGTGTTACTGTGTGTGCACACAGATCACAGGGCATCACCCTGCCACGTCCTCTCCCTCTGCCTCTGTTGGAGAGTAGGGACCCTGAATCCAACTCTTCCTGCTGGCTGCCCAGGTCAGGGGCAGTTGTTGTGCTGGGTTCAAGCAGCAGCTGCTCATTCTCACATATTTTTTCAACATTTGGTACTTTTTATACATCACAAGCCTGAGTCCCTCCTGGCAAAGAGTATCTACCTCATCTCTGAAGTAATGCTCACCGAGAAAGTTCTCAGTTCATAGCTGTTATGTAGACTCTAAACTCTAGGGCTAAGAGTTGGTCAAAATGCTAAGATTCCTGAGAACATTAAACAGTTTTTTATGTTCAGTTTGTTAACTGGGCACTTTAGGGTAGAAGATTTCCTTTAGGTAAAATAGTGCTCTGAGCCAGTGTATTATTCTAACAAAATATCTGAGATAATTGGCTTTTAAACAGTTTTATTTTGGCTCCATGTTCTGGAGGCTGCAGTTTACAATGGAATGGCCATGTTGCTTTTGGGCAACAAAAGCAAATCACGACTACAGTGCTTGCAGGAACAAAATCACTTACCTTCATCGTTGAACAAAGGGTTGGGTCCTACACACCCCTTTGAGGCTGCATCCCCAGCAGCTGGCCTCCTTCCAGGTCCTGCCTCTTAAAGGCTCTGCAGCCTCCCAGTGGCGTTACTCTGAGAATGATGCTGGAGCAAAGAGGTCTATCCGCGACATTTGGGATCCACATTATCACAGCGTGCTTTACTTACTTTTAAAAATTCAAAGACCCGGGGCTGGGGATTTAGCTCAGCGGCAGAAGCGCCTGCCTTGCAAGTGTGCGGTCATGAGTTCCATCCTTGGTACTGATAAAAACGAAAATGACTAAAAAAAAAAAAAAAATTCAAAGACGCAAGGCATCTTTGAGTAATGCTTTCTCTATATTATTCAGGGTTCTTCATAGAAACAGGACCTGTAGGAGAAAAACCTGCATTAGGCAAGTAGAGATCCAGGAGGGATGATGATACAATTCCAGTTTGAGTCTGGAGGCCTGAAAACCAGAAAATCCAGTAGTATAAGTTCTGGTCCAAATGCTGCAGGCTCAGGGTCCAAGACCAGCGAGAGTTTCAGTTGTAAGGCAAAGGCAGGAAAAGACCACAAGCCCAGCTCTATGCCGCGAGGCAGGCTGGGTTCCATCTCACTCAGTGTTTTTGTTCAGCTTTTCTGTGATTGCAGGAGACCCACATTAAGGAAAGAGTGAACCGCATATTCCCTCTACCAATTCAGGTGTTAAACTGCCAGAAACACCCTCGTAGACACTCAGAATTGGGTACCCTGTGGCCTGGTGAAGTTGACACATCACATTAACTACCCACCTCTCTTCGGTCTGAATGAATTCATGGTGAAATGCCTGGTTAAGTTCTCAATCTGAACTTCAAAGTCAAAAGAATCTGTTTCAATGACCTCTTCTGTAAGTTGCAGATACTCCTTTTGGTGCTCTCTTTTGATGTCCCGTTTTGTCCTGAAGGATAGAGGACAGAAGGCAGGAATCTGCTTCATGAATAACCTGGGATAGCCTATGACCCTGTCATAGCAGTATTTAACTTAGGCCTCATGTAAAACACATTATCCAGTTTTTGTGTGTTTGCTTCTTCTTCTTCTTCTTTTTAAGGACTTTGTTTAGAGAAGCTGCCTATTTCGTCTTCTACCAGTAACCTTCATGTGGACCGGGAACAGGATGTCATCACCTGTTATGAGAAAGCAGGGGACATCGCACTCTTGTACCTCCAAGAGATAGAAAGGGTAAGTGAGGACCGAGCATTTCTTCCATCTGATCATTTTGTTTCCAAATTGGATTATAACTCCTGCAGTCAAGCCCTGGAAAGCCTTTGACTTGTCTGCCTCAGGCTACAAAGCTTCGCTTATTCCTGAATGCTATGGAGAAGATGGTAGTGATAAAGTAGATCCCTCAGTGTGTGTGAAATATTTTAAGATCCTCTGAGCAGAAATGACAGTCTGCAGCCTTTTATGCCCACTGAAATGGTGAATCATTCCTTGTTCCACGGAGCGAAATGGGTTGACGTCCTTCATCTTCACGTGGTCTGTGGGCACATCTGCTCATCTGGGATTGGGAGGCTTCACCTGGGTGTGGCTGGTTGTGGCAGTTTCTGCTGGGGACTTCAGGCTTCCAGCTCGGAGCAGGTTGTATGTCTCTAAGGCCATCTGTGATGGCCTCCTCCAGCAGTCAGTGGTTCTCTGGCACATGAGGAATGGAAACCAGCAGCTGACAAGAAGGCCACTTTAATGGAGAAAGAGTGAGCTGTAGGCAGAGAAGGCTGAGAGTAGGTGGGGCCAGGCAGGTGTGAGCAACTTGTGCCTTTAGAAGGACCCTTGCCTTTTGGTTCCCATTATTAAATTTTTTTACCTGTGAGTCCTAGTTTTCCCATCTTGAAAAAGTGTGTAATAATAGTTCCCGCTTCTTGGAGTTCCTTGGATTATATAAGGTCATGTGGATGCAAGCAGTTAGCCTAGATTCCAGAGCACATTGGCTTCTTGGTAGATGTCACTGATTTTTGGTAACAATCATTCCTAGGAGTCTTCACTGCAGCACAGTTTCCTGGTGTTCTGAGCAAGCCTGGACACTGACGTGGGCCCTCTCAGCCTCAGAGATGCACTTGTGTGATGTTTGAAGCAAGTAGAAGTCTTGAGAGAGTTTGAAAATGATCAGATTTGTTTTCCATCAGTTTTCTGGATTTTTCTGTAAAGATTAGAGAGGAAGTAAGTCTTGCTAGCTTTTGTTATTCTTTATGTGTACCGACTGGAAGTAATATATTTAAAAATCATTTTATGATGTGTTGGTGTATCTCAGGAGGACCAGAACTGCCTGCCAGGAGACAGGGAGAGGAGATAGTGTGAGACTCACGGAGGATACAGAGTTGCAGGGAAAGATGGAATAGCATTTGACCTCCTATAAACAGAATAGATTGTAAGGCATAGCTCATGATGGCTGGGAATTTAGGAGGCTGTTTTGACTGTCATGCCAAAATGTGGTTCTATAAGAAGGTTCTTCTGAGGGAACTTTTCTTGTTTATTCAGAATGTAGGATATGTCTTTAGAGAAATGCAGGCTGTTTTCAATAACCATGCTCTATCTGTTGCCTGGCAATAGAGTCAGAGCTTGCAGTAGAGAAGTCTGTTTATCCCAGGTGAGCTCTTTGTTGACCACACAATCCTGGGCACTGAGGGACTCTTTTTTTTTTTTCATTTTTTTTTATTATAAAGAGGGTAAGATTAAACAGAACAAAACAGATCATAAGAAAACAGTTTTAAGAAACATGGATTTCAAAGCAAGTCCACTGGAGATCTTCACTGTCTATCTTATTGTCTCTAGTTTTCTTCCAAATAGTTGTCCCCATCTTCACACACATTGAATACATACTGAACATTATAGAACTAATCTAATTATAACAGGATAATGAAAGCTTTTAGGTCTTCAAGACCTGACATTGGGGAAGTCAATAATGACTGTCATAATGTCTCTCATTCTCTTCTAGTAGTAGCTGTCCTTATCTTTATGTATGCTGAAATTGAACATAAGAGACTAGACTAATATCACTCTGAACATGAATAATAGTATTGCTAGATTTTATATCATAATGCTACAGAATTAGCACTGGGTTTCTTTTTTTTTTAGTTTTTTTGTTTTTCTTTCGTTTTTATCGGTACCAGGGATCGAACTCACGACTGCCTGCTTGCAAGGCAGGCGCTTATGCTGCTGAGCTAAATCCCCAGCCCAGCACTGGGTTTCTTAGTGTCTCTTCTTCTTTAGAGTATCTGTTCATTACATCGTGCATTATATAATCTGTTCCCGTAAGCTGTTTAGAAATTCTCCCCATGTGTGAACCTCTACATGTATATCTGTCCTTTCTGTATTATAGGGAAAAACAAATCATAACAAGACAACAAAACAAATTCCTAGAAAAACATGAAATGAAAAAGACATATAAAACCACAATATTAGGTGATCTACAGTAGTTACTATGCTTTCTCTTGTTATTTTCAATAGAATTGTCCACATCCTCAGACATACTATAATTGAATGTAGCATTACATAGCTATTTTAATAAAAACACAACTTTGGAGATACTGTAGGACTTCAAAAGCAGTTAATAATCAAACCGGAATGGGTATCTTATTACATCTTGTCATCTTCAGAGTAGTTGCCTCTGCTCTTAGACTTGATACTATCAAGCATGCCAAATTCAAATAGAATCAGTCAAGATGAAACAGCAGTCTAACAAACCAGCTTCAAATAAGATCAGTCATGGTAAGACAATGTTAGTAATACAGGGCTTCAGTTTAAGTTAATAGGAAATTAAGGACAGTTGCCGTGGTATACTGTGCTATTTTTGGGATAGCTGTCTGGGGCACTGAGGGACTCTTATTTTGCAGCTTACTCTCCAGTTGTCCAGTCATGTTGGAGCTGCCTTTGTCCAGCTGGGAGGAAAGAGGCTCATCTGTTCTGTGTTTTAGCAAAATGTATGAATTGGCTGATCTCAGTGTACTACCTGTTGTGTTTATTTCCCAAGGACACACAAGACATGAGGCCAAAGCTGATGTGAAGATTCCACTCTTTCTTGACACCTACTTCAGTGTTCACCCCATTGATTCTCCCAAACCACTGTAGACAAACACTGGATTGCATCCTTTCCCACGTGCTCCAGAAGTAGGGAGCCAGTGGCGGAGCCTTGGCATGCACTTGTGTGGGGAAGCAGCTTCTTGCGTATGGGGTTAACTCTCAGCATGTCTGGTGACTACTTTCCTGTCTACTTCTTCAGTAGTAGTTTCCTCTTGGAAAACCACTTTGGGCCTCCGCAGATTTCAGCCAGGCGCTGTTAGCCATGAGGCAGAACAAATGAGCCAAAAATCTGTTTTGACTGTAGTGGACACTTGAGAAATTGTTTGTTGGTCCATCCAAATGCTAGGTGAAAATGCCCTCCTTTAGTGCCAGTGGGCTTGGTGGGAGTTCAAGGATTTGTATGTGACAAGGGAATTGTGGGCCATGCTGAAGATGCCTAATAGACTTTTTTGTTTTACATTCGAACTTAATTGACTTAATTTTTGAATGTAGTAGGGATTATGCTGAATTGAAAATAGACACATTAGAGAAGCAGAATCTGAAAGAAGTGAAAGCCTTGGGAAAGCCTAGGCAAACAGTGCTTTGCTTTCTAAGCAGCCCAGTGAGTAGAAAATCCCACGTGCTGCTTCTTGGTTGTCTGCACTGTGATGGTTTTTCTGGCCTTTCTCCCCTTCCTTAGTGAGGAAACAACTGTCTGCAAGGATCTTGTGGCATTTAGAGTTGGCTTTTGTGTTCATTCATTAGCATGAATACAATTTGGGTGAACATAATTTAAGGGCATTTTAGAGTGGTGTGACTAATGGTTTTTCACATCTGGAGCTATCGCATCAGGTTTCAGAGGCTGTGCCCTCCCCGAGCTTCTCTACAGTGTCTGCTCAGCTGTGTTCCAGTTGTTGGTTTCTTCAGGGGCAGTGGCCTTTCAGAAAGGAGGCTCACCTTGGCCTTCCATCGAGGCAGCTGATCCAGCTCTGAGAGGCAGCTGAGCACCAGAGGAAAGGCACGCAGTGCTGGAATACTGGCCTTGCCACCTCTTAGTGTGGAACCTGGGGCACTTGCCTCTCTTGCGCCTCAGGATCCTGACTATACAATAGAGAACTCACGAACTCCCACTATACTGTTAGCGCACTGTAAATGTTAGCTTTGCTGTCGTTATCTGTGCCTGGGTCACCAGGCTGTGCCATCATTTTATTTTTGGTAACAGAGATTGAACTCACGACCTCGCGCTTGCAAGGCAAGCGCTTACGCCGCTAAGCTAAATCCCCGGTCCTTATGTGCCATCCTTCTTAGCCTTTCAAAATTTTAGATATTTAGATAAAAATCTGCAGTGTCACATACCTGCTCCTTTATTAGGAATGTTAAAGAATTTTAGGGGACTGTGTAAAAAGTAATGTTTTCACGAGAATTTGGCTCCTTTCCTTGTGCTAAGCTACTGGAACAACATTTTGCCTGGTGTCCCTATTTCCAGGTTCCAGGTTTCTGGTCACTCGTAATTGTTTGACCGTGGACCTTTCATTTCTTTATGGCTGTTTCTGCTTTCCATCTTCGTAGTGCAGCTGTTTCTGCCTGGCTCGTCTCATTTCAGAGGCAGAGGACCGGCATTTACCATGAAGTGCTGTGTACCAGGCAGGATGCTAGGAGTTTTCTCTGCGCGGCTCTTCCACCTGTCCGGTGTGGAGTCAGGGCCCGAGGAGATGGGAGGAAGTGAAAGCTGTGTGCATTAAACATTTGCTTAGTGTCCTCCTTATTACATTAGGTTACAGAGACATTGACCAGTAATCTTCTCTGATAGTTTGTTTTCTGAAGGGGAATAAAATATAACCCTAATATTGTGTACACAAAATAATTTAATCAAAGAAATCAAATCAGAGCAGATAGAATTAGCAATGGCGCAGGGTGGCCTTGATTAGTTTATCTCTAGATTGTGGCAGTGTGCCAGTAGTAAATAAAATTTTCTGTACTGCAAGGAACTTGCGTTGCAGCGATAGGAATAAAGATGACTTCATCCTTGGATATCACAATCTGAGCCCTGCTTTTGGCAAATGAAATTATCCCGTCTCTGTCCTTTGCACGAATCAGCCAACCAGCTGGTTATGGCTTTCTTGAGCAGGAGCGGTGCCAGGGTGGAACTTTACCTTCTGCTGACAATTCATTTCTTTATACCCTAT